TTCTACTTTCACGCATTTATTTTAATAAAAAGTAGAAATAGTTTGTGTAATTAAAGTATATGTATTTTATTCGGCATCATAAGTTTTATCATTATTGAGTGTACATAAATATATAAAATTTGAATGTGATTCTTGTAAACTCCTACCAGTTGGCACCTAATTTTTTATTTAAAAAAAAAATTTAAAAGATGGTCTACGTTTTGTAATCGATTTGATCGACGATACAATTATTTTATAACTTACAACTAGGTGGTTGGAAAGTTTATGATGAAACGGCTGAGACAGATGACCCACAAAAGGAGTTTCTCAACGATCTTGCGTTGAAAAATGTGCCTTCTGACCCAGTAGTCCACTTAGACTTCTTCAAGCCATAAAATCTGCCTAAATGACATTCCCGATTTAGCCAGTTATAAAGAGCAAAATTTGTTTATGGTTTAATTGTTGAAATATTCAATTAAAATCCTAATTTCAGCGGTTGTTTACCGTGTGTCGAAACTTCCGTTTCCTGCTTACTAATATCGCTTCCTTTTTACACACATTTTTTCATTCTTAATACAGTATGGTTTTAAATGTCGAACTGATTTAAAAAAAAACACTAAAAATCCATATTTTCATCAGCACATTGGAGTGCCTCCGAATATCTCGGTAGAAAAACAACAAAAACGAGTTATTTATTATTAAAGATATATGTATTTCGTGTCCGATTGACCAAATAACTTCTTTCAATTAATTAATCTTTATGTAAGGTATTGGTTGAAATGAAAAAGTTGATGTCACGAGCGGGATTCGAACCCAGGACCTTCCACTAAATACGCCCCTGCTCTACCACTTGAGCTATCGTGACTTCGATCCACTCGGATATCAACTTTCCAGCTCAACCCACCTTTCGAATTTTCCCTCCTTTCTGCCATTTTTCAAATGGTAAGTGGTAGAGCAGCGGCGTATTTAACGGAAGGTCGTGGTTTCGAATCCCGCTCGTGACACTAACTTTTTCATTTCAACCAACACCTTACGTAAAGATTAATTAATTGAAAGAAGTTATTTATTATCATCATCGAGTAAAAGATATTTAAAGTTAATAGTTTTTAACTAACGCGATTTTGCTATTTAGTTTGAATCAATGTTATTATTCAATATCATGATTATTTTATGAAATATTGTTAAAGTTTTCTAATGTTATAATCAACCGTTAGGTTAAGATAGAATATGACAACACATATTAAATATTAAAAAAAATTAAGAACGACGAGTTTTTCATATTTTTGATTGTGTGTAGGGTTTAGTCATAATTCACGACTTATTTTTCTAAAAGTAGGTATGGCAATGAACCTATCGAAGGAACGGTTTTTCAAATTAATGAACAAGCCGATATATCTGGAAAATATATTGATATATCGAACAAGACGATATATAAAATCGATTTTTAATATCGATCAAGAATCAATATTTTAAGGTATTGACTAAAATCAATATGATGATGGCACTATAAGTTGCCGAAAGCTTGGTGAACCCGACAGTACGTCTCCTTCTTTCTTCAACTGTCTAATGACCTCCATGAAGATTGAAACTCCACATAGATTATCTGCAGGTCTATCACCAAACATCATAAAATCAATATTTTAAGGATTAAAAAGTAAAGGTTTGTTCTAACAAGTGTACTAAAAAAGTTATGAACAGTTCAGTAATCACACCGAATTATTTCGTACTTGTTGCTCCAAACATTTTTTGTTGGAACATTTTAGTCCTTAGAACTCCTTTTGTTCCCAGATCAAATAACTTGGAGTAATATCATGAAAAAAAGACAATTTTATTTACATTATAACTAAAACATAGACAAATATAAACAAAATAAAATAAAATGTTAACTTACGCATTGTTAATAATTAAACACTAACATTAAAGTACACGCCATAAAGCAATTTAAATGATATGTATCGATATATCGGAAGCCCATATATCGATTAAAACATATCGATAAATTTCCAAAATATGTAGATATATTCGATATATGGAGATATCGTTCCCATCCCTAGATTTTCTATGGAATGATTTAGACTAATTATGTAGATTCAAATCAAAACCACCTCATCTTGGACTTTCTCAACCCTTGAATATTTAATCTTCAGTAGATGGTTGAAAGAATACAAGCAGGCTGTAAATTCTTCACCCAGATGCTACATTATTTTTCACTCATGGATCAAACATCAACGAAGGAGATGGAGTATCAGTTGTATGTCAATTCTCCACTGTATAACCTCACTCTTGGTAATATGTAGCGACTTTCACTCAGTCCGAATAGACATGAACTAGTACTCCAACATTATACTGATATAGGGAGAACAAAGCAATGAAAAGTTTTGATCAGGGGTCAAAATCGTATATCTATGGCCTCCAAGCCATAGTTACATAGAAGGCAAATGATATGACAGATCAAGCAGCGTTGTGACATCTTACTATCTTATAGCAACTGATAAAATTACGGGGCAATCAAATCGGGATACATTAGGAGAAAAGAAACTTTGACAAACCAATAATACTATTGGACCCTGGAGTACACCCATAAAAACAACCAGACCGGAGGAGACAATATTCACTCGTCTCAGGGAAGGACATACGGACATCTGATGGCCCGAACCCTGAACGAGTATGCTAAATTTATAAAAATTTAAGTTAATTATATTTCTCTATCATTATTAAATTTACTTGTATTAAATCTACAGTAGTAAATATGTAATAAATAAATAAAAAAATATAAATCACTTAAAGATTTTCTTGCAGCTTCCCCCCCACAATGTTTTCCACAATACAACAAAGAAACCCTTTTAAAAGAAGAAGTCTAAAAATAATTTGTAAATAATAAACCTCACCTAATAACATATTGTTTTTTTGGAATCAAAACAAACAAGCAAATTACTCAAGTTTAAATTTATTTGAAAGTTTTTTATTCCTGTTAAAAAATAACGATAAACAAATAATATCAGCTAATGAATGGAGCATTGTTTAATAAAAGATTTATTCATTTTTTCGTTGTTTATGTTTAAAATGCGTTTATTTTAATACTCAAGTTTACGTTTTTTTTAGTTTTTTTTAATTTCAGTTAAAGAATAACGATAAACAAATAAATATCAGTTAATGAATGGAGCATTGTTTAATGAAAGATTTATTCATTTTTTCGTTGTTTATGTTTAAAATACGTTTATATTAATACTCAAGTTTACGTTTTTTTTAAGTTTTTTTATTCCAGTTAAAGAATAACGATAAACAAATAAATATCAGCTAATGAATGGAGCATTGTTTAATGAAAGATTTGTTCATTTTTTCGTTGTTTATGTTTAAAATACGTTTATTTTAATACTCAAGTTTACGTTTTTTTTTAGTTTTTTTATTCCAGTTAAAGAATAACGATAAACAAATAAATATCAGCTAATGAATGGAGCATTGTTTAATAAATAGATTTATTCATTGTTGCGTTGTCTACCTATATATTAAAAAAAAAACGTTTATTTTTACAAATCACTGGTTCCATCGGAGTTTCGTAATTTTTCACTCGAATAAAATGTTAAATAAACAACCCATGCAGTTTTATTTATTTAGGTTAAAACAACGATCACACTGACACACACAAAACAAAATCCAAAGGTTCAATGAAGAGCTTTGGTCAAGAAATCATCTTGAGACTTATAAAAAGCTACTACTTATATCAAACAATTCACTAGGAAGAATACGTGAATCCTGGACAATGATTAGAAAAAAGTAACGCTGGAGAACATACAAAGCAATTGTTTCTCGGTCATTATGTCCAAATTGTATTTGGCTGATTAGTTACAGCATGAATATTATCGATATTGATAGCTAATTTATGACCAAGCGGCGTAGCCAAAGTAGGGTAAATAAATTTTTTGCAAGAAACCAAGTTGGTATTTGTTATTTTGAATCGCTGAAAACCTCTGAATAGAAATTTTGGGAAAATAAATACAGTTTATCTTTTAAATTTTCCGCCTACGAAATCTTCCAATTTTTTTCCAAAACCACAAAATTGCTATAACTTTTAAGATTCCTATGAAACTTTATATGGGCTTAGGACTAAATAAACTAAACGAAATGGCACAAATGTCGCCTTTGTAAATAAACTAAAACCCGTGATAAAAAGTAAACAGTTAACAAGTTTTCGTTTTTGGTTTTTGCTATTTTCATACTTATTTTTCTAACTGATACTGACATAAATTGTAAACTTAGTTAATATAATCTGAAAGAACAGAAATCCAACTTTCGAACAGTTGTAATAAAATTAAACTTTGAATATTACACTGAGTTGTTATGAATCATTAAATAAAATTAAACCTACAAACGTTTTTTAAAAACGGTGATCTCATTTCCAGGAGACTCCTTTTGTTAGTGACTTGATTACCAATTAATCTAAAGACTTACAAAATTTTCATAAGTTAATGGGCTTTGGTCTATTTTAAACTAGTTCTCTTTAAATGGTAAAATTTTGAACTTAATTCGTCACTCATTTGGCTTATTATTTTTTAATTGCTGTCTATATAAGAAATTATAATAATTATTTTACAATTTTACTGCTAATGTTTTTGTTTTCGAGGAAATGTTTGATCAGACTAATATAAAAATACGCATCACTTATCTAAAATATAATAACCCTGTTAAACAATAATAACACACATTGTAAGCATTTTATAATTGAATCAGGCAAAAATGTTAATATAAAAATTATATTTTAAAAACTTTTTATTATAAAAGTGTATAAAATGTTTTTGTACAGGTTCATATAAAAATTTTAATTGTTAGGTACCATTTAGGAACTGAGGAGAATGATAAAATAATTCTGCTAACTCAGATAGTAATGACAAGGTATTTTCTGTTTTGATGCATCTAAGTGTGAAAAAGTTTAATGTCAATTTTTGCTAATGAATAGGTTAAAAAGAAGTGTTACATTTAGTCTTTTGTTGTCAAAGGAAACAGGGCTGTAATAATTTTTTTTAGAATAAATTTAAAATAAATAAGCCCGATTCATCGAGTTCCCAGATTGTCAGACCTGTAAAAGAAAAGAACGGACCTTAAGCAATTTAAAAATGGCATTAAACTCAAACAATGACACATTATATTTAATACAATTTCATTTTCTCACAGAAATATTAGAAAAGAAATGTTTTTCTCGGAAAAACAAAGAAAAAGATTTTAACTCGGTTTACATTGAATGAATTATTTTGTTATCAATACAACAATAGAAATACATATAGTTCCTCACTGAAGAAGGCGCAATGCCGAAACCCGTTTGAGTAGTTCAACAAACCCGCGAAGGAAGACGGACCCAAAAAGCTACCCAATTCCTTGTTCATCGTGAGTTCATTGACTTGGAGGCCAACTCTAAAAGTGATATAAATTGAAATAAACAACCAAATACGAGTGTTCGGTTTTTGTTTTTGGGTATATGTTTTAATGCAACCCTAAATTAAAAAATAAAATAAAAATTTCAATTAATTATACATTTTAACCAAAGTCTGAATTAATTGAAATAATTAAATACGTTTATTTATGAACGCTAAACGTATAAGGAAAAATGTAAAATATATAAATATAATTTATCTAAATTACAACTGGTTTGCTTTTGTTTATAACAAATGGTTTTCAATATCTTAGAATTAGTGCGGACTAGTCCTCTTTGTTTGAATAGTCTTTGTAATAGTCACAAGAAAGGTTCAAAGAAGTCATCATAAAAGGTAACAACAGAGAAAGAATCTCTGACATAGAAATAAAAAGAAAGAGGAATAAACTTCTGATAGAAATATGCGGAAAAATAAACAAGATTATTTTGTACGACAAAACAAACAAAAGTATTATCGGTTAATTGGATTAAACGATTTTGCCAAGGTACAAAAATTGTTCACAATTGGTTGGGTTGAGATGGATATTTTTAAATAAACAGCGTCATTTCGATAACAAAAGGTGATACTGGAAAATACACATTCTATATTTTTATATGTAAAAAAAATTCGTTTTTAAATCGGAATGTAAAGCCGATAAAATTTTTTGACCTATAAAACAAAAACGACTCAATCACAAATCTAATTTGCACTTAAGGGCTATATTCTATCTAAGGAAAATAGCCTTTTTTTGCAAAATAAATTATTCAGACAACATGCAAATTATCAAAAAACGTAAGGTAGTTGTATCACATACCTTTGGGGAAAGATGTCGGTATTATTTCCAAATGAGTCTACACTTCCCTTTGGAGTCAGGTTTCCTGTTCGCCCCGCATTTAATTATCCTCGGCGGGGCCTTGATCAGAGTCATGCCGGAGACCGGGTAGGTCAGAGGTAGTTCAGTCGCGTTACTAACGTGTTTGCTCAAGAATGAGCTAAGCGTGTAGACTTCTCTGATGATGAAGGATCCCTGAGCGACGCAGAGGATAAATATAAAGACAAGCACCTTGTCCATCACTAACACCGCACTAAATCCAAACGCTATAAACTTTCAACAATTTCCGATTAGATAAGAGCTATTATCAGTTTAAAAGAAGACAAATCATCTTTTTAAACTGTTATCGTATATGTGATGTGTTCTGGGAATTATCATGTAAGAAATGCTTTTAGCATTTGTAACCGTTCATTCAGGGTTATGCTTACCTGGAAATGTTCAAGTTATTCGTCCATTCTTTAATATAATTGTATAATTTATTTATTTCTAAAAATACACATTTTACACTTCAACACTTTGTAATATCTGTTAATAGTCATCCAGGTACTCCAGAATATAGCTTCTTTTAAAATCTGTCGATTTTTAATTATTGAATTGGTAAAGGGGGAAATCATAGTAATTTATGTGTTGTGTTTAGTTTCCGTTAGTTAATGATTATTTGGAAATCGTGAGGTGCGGTATGGTGTTTCGTACGTTTTAGAAAAACATTTTCTTTATCGAGCCAACGTTTCGTTCTTTATTGAAATCATCTTCAGGGAATGGATTTATGTTTTTCTAAAACCTACGTCACACCAGACCGCATTTTACGATCTCCATATAATCACTAACTTCCTGTATTATTCCACAATGTCGTTCATCCTCTAGATATTGTTTGTTTTGAAAAGAGCATTTTCGGCTTATTTTTTAGGTCTGCGTGTTTTCCCGTCCATATTTCCTTTCTGTAGGTTCAGTGCAAGTATGCTGTAAGTTTCTTTGTGTTAGTAGCTAGTGTTATTCGTCGTTAAATTAAAAAGGAAATTATTTCTGAATCCCAGATCGAGCCGGTTGTTTCCGTTCATCAAAAACTGTAACATTCTGCATATCTGCACCACAATCAAGATAAAAATCAAAGATAAAGTACAATAGTTAAAACTTACTTGACTAAACGGAAATCACAGATTAATAAATAAAGAAGGCGGGAAATCGAATACGACCAACTTAAAATATTAAAATAGGCCCACCAAAATTACTTACCAAAATTTCTATACTCCTGTTCTGACTATTATTTGTTTTTGCTAGAAGACTTTTGGTTGTGTTGTTTATGTCTGCGCATGCTTTTGTACATTCGGTCTTTTGTAGGTTCTGTGTATGTATCTTTGTGTTAGTTACACAGATAATCAACTATATTCGACGTTAAGTTAAATAGGGTTCGACTAAACTGAAATCACAAATCAACCAATAAAAATGCGAGAAGCGGTCAACCTCCTTCAGAGTAAATACAAGCATAGGGACACAAACTACATGAACCCATTATATCAAGAATTTTAGTGTGCACAAATCCGATAGAAATTTTTATTCTCGCGTTACGGAAAACGTCTCATAATGAGGGATCGGAGGTGAAGGTGCAATTCTGGTTAATGAACAAACGGACAAACTAGTCAGAGGAAGATCTACAGGGCCATATTTAGACCCAGCTTCTCCATCTTGGAATGGTTTTAGAAAAAACAAAAGGAGAAGCGGAAGAACTCAAAAGGTGCCAGTCACAGTAAAATTATGATTAAAGAACGTTTACCAAAACTGTCAAACATTACTACAGTTATATAGGGTAAAACTGAGAGGAGTAATAGGGATATATACACACAGTCCATTTCATTCAATGATGACTCAATTTGTAGGTTATGCCATCTCTATTCAAATGCTAAGAAACCGCCCAATGGGTACCTAGGGTACCAAGAAGACCCTGGAAAAAGAATTGCAGTCTTAACAGCCAACAACTACTTAAAAGAAGGATCGAGTAAATTGAACTGGAGGAATTGAGAAAAGTACAATAAGCCAAAAAGCTTGGGAATCCCCAACTTCGCTTCCTAGTCTTTCATCAACATCAAGGTGCTTGAAGGTGCGTCCTCGGCGGGCTGTTCTGTGAGGAAGAGGTTCTAGTCCCAATAGTTTAGTTTTGAATCTGACTCTGTTTCCAGATGACACAATTTTTATCTTAAAGCAATTTTTTCAAGAATTTTCAGAAATTAAATAAAATAAAATTCGATCAATAAAAAGTGGTTAAACCACATGATATAACAAGTTCCTAACTTCCTAACTAATGCATAAGGCTTTCAACTTCATTAAATAAAAATATTTGATAAACCTTAAAATGAAAAAAAAAAATTAAAATTTTGCGCTTGCAAGAACCATACACAACCATAAATAGACAGAAATGAAAGATGGGAAAGAAAATTTATGGGGAGGACACAAGGTAGGAAAAAGAAGAGAGAATTCAGTATGATTTTAGGCACCGAAGATACTTGAGAATTTTTCCTTTAAATTTATAAATTATTTTTGGTAATCAGATGAACTGTACAATTTGAGACACTATTAATTAGATTAAAGCTTAAAAGCCTACTCTGGATTAAGATTAGCTTTCTAGTTTCTGTATTTAACGTACATCTGGACTACTCCAAAGTCACAAACGAGCCAGTAAAACGGATTATACTCTGAGATAAATACTTTGTTGATGATCAACCAAGTAATTTACGTAAAGTAAGTGTTTTAAACAAATAATTTATAACAATTCACCAATTAATTATGAAGGCTTCTTATCTTATACTGAGTTTGTTTTTTTAAAATCCTTTTCCAACCATGTTCGACAGTGTAAAATAATTCGGTGTTTTGATTTCATGTAACAGTGTTATCATGAGGTAAAAGAGGAAGCGTCCACTTGAAAACCTTGTATATCATTTTAATGATTTTTAGACCACTCTGGCCTATAGATAGCTTTTAATAGCGTTAATAGAAGGTCATAACTATAACAGCAAAATGATCAATCTCCTGGTTCATGCATTTGGGTTAAAATTTTACTCGTTTAAAAAAAGTGTAATAGTAAGTTTCATTAACTTAGTAGAAGAAGAAACATAACTTTATTCTGGGACTTGTGTCCCCTAAGAATAACATACATGAAATGAATAAAGGAAGTTCCTTCTATGAAATTAAAAATAGAATGAAATAAAAAATCTTGGCACAATGTACACAAGTAAGGCAAGCCATAAGAAAAAATTACAAGAATATTAAACAAAAATATTATCACAAAGTTTCTGCTTGGAGGGAGAGGGGGTGATTATGCAGGTGGGATTTAAAGGAAGGAAAAGGAGGCGGTGTGACGAATAGAAAGGGTAAGTTCCAGAGTTTAGGGGCTCGGATCAGAAGGGATCTTTCGAAGGTATGGGTTGTATGTTGCGGAAGGAGTTGAATTGGAGGGATTGGATGAAGTAAGGACGACGAGTGTGGATGGACTGGAAAAGAAGGCAACCTAGGCAAACTGGGCACGGAAGGAAGGGTAGAGCCAGGAAAGTTGGGAATACAATCCCGTCATCCGGGAACCCCGTGGGGTGCCGTAAAGAATCCTTCGCTACAATTCATAATACGCTTAAAACATATACCTGTGATGTATTTATTTATTTTTAAATAACAACTGCGGTTACCGACAAAACCGATCGGTACTCGTTATTCCGTCATCGGCTCCCCCATCGCTTACTCACTCACTCAGTCGCACAACTATATATAAATACATTATATACAATTATACAATATTTCCACTGTAAAGAAGGGGAAATGTTTTGTTTCCCTTAAAAATCTTTAATCTTAATGACATACATGGAGCACACACTCTCATGTCAAATGACTGTCTTTATATCGAGTGCCACGCCTACTCGCTCCATCTAAGGGGACAAGGACTAGCACTCCTCGAAATGTGACACACCGAGAAACCATTTTATACAAGCGAGACACTGCGCGGGTGTTTGCCCAAAATCAGGTGTCCGTGTGTCAGTCGAGCATGGCCTATCCTCAAATGAGTGAGCACGATATTTTCTTTGCGTTTCAGAGTAACGGGTGGGGTCTTTCAGTTCTGCTTTTGATAAGCAAGAGCTTCTCGGTTTATCCGGCCCATTGACTCGGCCAACTTCCTTTGATTGCGTTCTTTACTGTTCGTATAGCGTCACTGGGTCTTATCGGGCTGGTTTGGTCTGAAGGGCCAGAGGTAGGACCTTTCGCCGCCTCGTCTGAACGTTTCTTGCCCAACAGCGCGACTGTTTATCTTTATCTTTGTCATGCCTACTCGCTCCCTGTAAGGGGACAAGCCAAGTGTGACACAATAAACGACTTTCTATACAACGGGGATGCCCCTAAAGCAAGTGTCCGTGTGTCAATCGTGTATGGCCTATCCACAAATGAGTGAGGATCCCCTTTCTCACGTTTCTGAGCTTTGAGGGCTATCGCTCAGTCGTGCTTGTGATACGGACGAGCTTCTCGGACGATCCGGCCCATTGACGCGACCTTTGCTGCTCGTAAATCGTCACATTGTATTTTTATTAATGTTATTTTTATTTTATTTTTAATGTGTTTTTTTCCGCACTTTTGTAATTAAATTGTAGATGTTGTAGATATTGACTTGTTTAGTCTTTCTACCACTATTTCGTTCCACTGATCCCTTTGTTCAGATATTAGCAGATACTATCTCTGGTCACTTTTTCTATGTTATAGTGTAAAGTTACGTAAATTATCTTTTCCATTTCGCATTTCTGACAACGTGGCCAGTTGTATTGTGTAAAAAGATTTTTTTCGTTTGATGTGAAATATTATTTAAAGTTTAAGGTATTGCAAAGTTTTGGATTAACATGTTTTACACTAAATCAAAAAAAGAAAAAAAACCGAGTGTTCGTTATGTAAAATAAGAAAAAACGTCGTATTTTAAATCATATTAATTTGAGTGGATACGATCAGAATCCTCTCAGCACTGACACCACTCAAAATAATACTCTTACAAAATGAAATTTATTTATTATTTGTTTAATTCCTAGCCAACTGAGGCTGAAGTATTTTCATCAGCTACAATTACTGATTTTTATCGAGCGATGTTTCCCACTTCAAAGTCTATGATCTTGTTGGTCCACTTAATTTTGCTGAAGATGGTTAAAATTAGTTTATTATTTTAAGCTAATAATAACCCGCAGACCAAGCAAGACCTCACCAGAGGAAATATAAGACTGTAGACACGTATAACTATTCCCCTAACTTTTCTCTTCATTACTTTCTCGCACCCTCTGCCTCTTTCCCAATATACTTTTTCTATACAGTTTTTCATTTGAATTAACCAGTTTCTCCATATCTCACTCTACTCTCATTCAACCTATCAACCTCTCCTTTTCATATTCTCTTTCTCTCTCTCTCCCTGTTGCTCACCAACGTTTTCACTCTTTCCATTTTCCTTTCTCTCTCTCTCTCTCTCTCTCTCTCTCTCTCTCTCTCTCTCTCTCGATATTCCTTTTTCCCTACCCATCTCTTTTTCCTATGTTCCCATTTAACTCAGTTGCACTCTCGCCATTTTACTTTGTCTAACTGAGGATTAATTAGTAATTATTACTCACTAACCACTATGTTTATTTGTCCTCTCATTCTCTCTCAACTCTCCATTTCATTCATTCTCTCTCTCTCTCTCTCTCCGTCTCTCTTTATATCTTTTTATGCTCTCTCTTTCCCCGTCTATCTATCTCTATCCATCTATCTGACCTGACTATCTCTTAATTTCATCTCTTTCTCTTTCCATCTATCCATTTATGGTTTTTTCTATCTATCTACCTATTTATATAAATCGTCAACTTCCTTTTCTAGAGAGGTCAGTCTTATCATACACACATAAAAAATAAACGTTCCGTTAATTCTCGGTTCAACTTTTTCATTTTGCTTACTCTCCTGCCATATATTAAATAGAGTATATTCATAATGAAATTAAGCAATTTAAATTTGGTCAAAATTTTTTGTTTATTTTTTCCTTCGGACATATTTAAACCAGGATATCTCCATCATTTGTGTTTCATTAAAAAAAAATCCCAATGCTTTCTAACTGGCGCGTCACAATAAAATACTAATATGAGGAACCATACATTCCAACTATCACCGCATCCAGATTTCTCATTCCAAAATCCTTCGAAAAATTACAACTCCTTTATACGTATCTAATCACACAACCCCAATGACATTAAAATTTCTTTGGTGAAAGA